GAAGACACTTTTGAAAATAACAAGTCGGGCTCCCTTATGAACTCCAACTTTATTCCTACATACCCTGGTATGTTTCAGCATTTGATGTGTTTACTTGGGTAGCTGCATTGTTGATTTCTCTTAAAGCTGTTGACCTTCATTTCCCTGTATTGTTACCAGACGACTATAAAGGGAGCCAACTTCCTGGTCCTGGATTGGATTACACTTCTCTTGCTCAACGAGGAGCTGGAACTAATGATTATAATCAACTAAAAACACTTGACTTGGGGAGCTGGGAAGAAGTTTTTCAGCAGTGTACTAGAGGTCCGGAAAATTTACTACCTAATCCGTTACTTTCTGGTGCTCCGCTTGTTGGAAGCACTGATGGTTACAATGAGAGTTTCAGCCAGCTTCTGGATGCTGGCTTTGGTGTCAATGGTGCGCCAGGAGCTTCTTTAGCGCCATACTTGCAGGTAATCTTATACTTAGTAACCTTTGTTGCACAGAAATGGGAATGGAAAGTGAGGAAGCTCTATTTTCACGCAACAAAATTCTTCAACGATTATATAACTCAAACAATTACCTCAACTCTTTTTTTCGAAATGATTAATGTTATTGTTTGAATAATTCAGAACATTATCGGGATCCCTACAATTCTGAATAACTATTGGTAATTATAATGTTGGATTTTTTATAATTGAATCGAAATTTTTTTGGTACCCATTTATGCGTGGGCATTCAGTTCACAGGACTTTTATTGCTTAGTTCTCATTTCTTAGTAGACTTGTATATTTCTGGAGAATATATATATATGCGTCCTAATATGCACATCTTTCCTGTTTGTCAGAGTAACAACCCATTAGAACTTTCTTTCACTGAATATCAAGACAATACAAACATTACTGCTACTGCTAAGCAGCCATTGCTGGGATCTATTAGGGCAGAGGAGGGCCTGCAAAAAGTTGATAGTTTCAATAAATGGATGACCAAGGAATTAGCTGAAGTAGATGACTTGGATTTGAAGTCGACTTCAAATCTGTCATGGCAAAATATTGAAACTGCTGCTTCTGTTGATGATCCTTCAATACAACTAGAGGACTACTCAATGAGTCCCTCAATTGGCCAAGATCAGCTCTTTGACATTCAAGACTTCTCACCAAGTTGTGCTTCAACAGACAGTGAAACAAAGGTGTTTTTTTTTTTTTTTAAATCAACATTTGAGACTTGCATGATTCACATTATAAAGATTTAAATGGCATGCTTAAGATAGAACCACATCTATTTATCTGTCATTAACTTTTTGTTTGCATCAAATGATAGGTTGTGATCACTGGAAAATTTATGGTCAGTCCCTCGGAGGTGTTCAAGTATAATTGGTCTTGCATGTTTGGTGAAGTGGAGGTGCCTGCTGAAGTTCTCGGCAATGGTGTTCTCTGTTGTTATGCACCACTGCATAGTGTTGGACGAGTCCCTTTCTATGTATCATGTTCTAACAGGTTTGCTTGTAGTCAAGTGCGAGAATTCGAATATGTTGTTGAGGGTAAAAAAGACAAAAACATGGTTAGCAGTATGACAGAAAATCAGCTTTGGCTCCGACTTCAGAAGCTACTATCTATAAGTTCTCCCGGGAATTTTGATTCTACTTCTGAAAGTATTAGAAAGAAAGAGCCAATTTTTAGAAAAATATTTCTATTAATGGAAGATGAACTCGTCTTGGGGGTTGAACAACATTTGAAGGAAAAAGTGGTCTCTTGGCTGTTTGACAAGGTTAGTAGTGAAGATGGAAAAGGACCAAATACACTTGATGAAGAGGGGCAAGGGTTGTTGCATCTTGCTGCAGCACTTGGTTTCGATTGGATTATCCCCCCTACTTTAGCTGCTGGTGTTAGTTTGAATTTCCGGGACATAAATGGATGGACGGCTCTCCACTGGGCTGCATGTTACGGAAGGTAAAGCTTTTAATATGCTGAAATATGTTATATAAGCTCCTTTTCTCTTTAATAGTTTCATCCGTGTAAGTTTCTTCAATTAACCTGATAGTGACTGCGCGGCCTTATATTGTCTTATATTATGTTGTTCCATTGTCTATGTTACTACTCTAGAGAGAAGACTGTTGCTTTTCTAGTTGCACTGGAAGCTGGATCGGGATTAGTAACAGATCCTTCACCAGAATTTCCATTGGGTAGGACTGCTGCGGACTTGGCTTCAGCTAAAGGATACAAAGGAATATCTGGTTTCCTTGCAGAACATTCCTTGACTGATCACCTTGAGGCCCTTACAATGACCGATCGAAAGAAGGATAGTCCAGTTGAAAACTCTATGAACAATGCTGTACAAACAATGAGAGAGAAGATGGCTACTCCTGGTGATGAAGGTGATGGGTCAGATTTGTCATTAAAGGATTCCTTGGCTGCTGTTCGTAATGCCACTCAAGCTGCTGGTCGTATTCATCAAGTTTTCAGGATGCAGTCATTCCAAAGGAAGCATATCAGTAAGGGTGCTGGTGACGATGAGTCTTTGTTGACTGATGAACAGTTTCTCTCACTTGTATCATCCAAAATTAAGAGGCCTGGGCATCCTGATGAGAAAGCCCATTCAGCTGCAACACACATACAGAAAAAATTTCGTGGTTGGAAAAAGAGGAAAGAATTTTTGACTATTCGCGAAAGAGTTGTTAGAATCCAGGTATTTGAACCTATTGTTTTCTCTTATGTTCTAGAGCATTTCTGTTCATTATTTTTTTTAAAGATCGTCATTGTCAACATTTTGGGTGTGATTTGTAATGATGTGGAGTTTAACTTAGTAACCCATTGATGCATGCATTTTGATGTGATATTCAGCTCCGAGACGTTATTTGATTGCAACTCAGTATTCTGATCTACAGTTTACTATCCTTGTGAAATGTAAAATGATGAATTTCCTTTTCAAATAAAACAAAGTGATGGAGGTAGTGTCTAATATTGTGCTTTATTTAAGGCCCATGTGAGAGGTCACCAGGCGAGGAAACGATACAAACCAGTTGTCTGGTCTGTGGGAATACTAGAGAAAGCGATTCTGCGGTGGAGACGAAAAGGGACTGGATTGCGCGGGTTTCGTTCTGATGCCCTTAATAAAGCAGCATCCAGCACAGATGCTCCACCAGTTGTACAGAAGCCGCCTTCTGAAGAAGATGATTATGATTATCTGAAAGAAGGAAGGAAACAAACTGAAGAACGGTTGCAAAAAGCCCTTGTCCGGGTGAAGTCTATGGTTCAATATCCTGATGCAAGAGCACAGTATCGAAGGCTTCTGACTGCTGTAGAAGGTTTTCAAAAGAATCAGGTATTCATAATGTTTATATGGATGATCTTGTGGTTCTTGATTGCCAAAGCATAATTGAGTCAACGTCATGTACTTGGGTGTGCATATATCTGTTACAAGACCTAGCAAGTAGTTGTATTTCGCTGTACCTGCTCTAGTTTTGTGTTTTGTTGCTGCCTAGTGCCTAACCTGCACCCCCCCCCCCCAAAAAAAAAAAAAAAAGTGGTGTTGGCAGATAGAGCCTTTAGAGATGTGTGGCCCATTATATTGGGATGGTTGGAATACAACTTTCATTATTGCGTCTATGCTGTTTAGTGAGTAACAGGTGGAAGATGATGGAGAATGTTATGTGCAAGCGTAACCTTTAGAAAGTCTGGCTGGTGTCTTTCACTTGTGTCTTTCTTATAAAATCCTTTCACAAGGTGAAATTTGAAGATGCTTAAATTATTTAAGACAGCCTGGGCCATATGTGATTTATCATACCTTTTCTGCAACATTGTCTTGGAAGATGAAGGTTCAAATTGCATAGAGCGCTTAGTTGTTTTTGTTGTAGATGCTACTTGACTATTGTAGTTTGTGAATTGCTAGGTGTCTTGTGTCATTGAATCACCCCTTATCTCTTCATAAACGCTTTAGCTGTAATCTCTTTACCTGACATTGTTTTTTCGCTTCCTTGCAGAGTCAGGTACAAGACAGCACCCTAAACAGCGCAGATATTGCACCAGCTGAAGGTGAAGATGACATGATTGATGTCGAAAGCTTACTAGATGATGACAACTTCATGGCTATAGCATTTGAGTGATTTGATTTTCTATTTTCATTCTAATTTGTGCAATTTGTACATAAAGTGAATTGTCTGCACCATCATGATTGGACGGAAGTTAATATTCTCTTGTAAATACTTATATATAGCATTAATTAGGAAGGAGATCCTTTAGAAGACTGATGCGTAGGCATGGTTAAGTTTGACAAAACAGGTTAGATTTAGAAACCCGTCTGAGATTGTTGGATATGTGCGTATGATTCTGTAGCTAATGGTTCTTTAAAATCTACTCTATGCGTGCATGCCAATCTAAGAAGTTTTAGTACTTTTATGCAAAAAAAAAATAAAAATTTGACATGTTACATCTGTTGTCTGTTTGACTGAGCTTATCAATTTAATGTTTGCAGGGGAAAAAAAAATTTCTATCGGGAATGGGTATTTTTGTTATAAATGTGTCTAAAAGCCTAATTAGAGGAATTCTTTTGGTTAATCCTACATACTATAAATCTATATACATGGTATACACTAATTCAGGCTCTTACCGCCACAAAGCTTCTTTCTAACGAGTTATAAAGGTAACTAAACGTGTACTGAGTTTAACTTCGAAATAATGCTCCTTTGTTGCAAATAAAAAATAGATATAGTATTAGAAATGCTTTTAGAAGTAAAAGCTTGGACATGTTTTTGAATTTGGACTTCTATGTATCCTTATCATAGGTTCAGCTCAAAAAAAATTAGCCATGTTCCTTTAAAAAAAAAAACAACATTAATCTCCTCAAATATGGTGATAAAAATAATATTAACAACAGGCAACAGCAATATAATAAGATTAGTAACAGTAATGATAGAAATAATAGTAAAACATTAAATGAATTATTTATGGTTTTCTTCTACAAAAAATCCAATAATGTATTAAGATTATTCCAGGACCAACTGCATTTTCAATTGCAAACAGATAGCAAAAAAAAATTGGACTTTAAAGGATTAATAAGCTAATGAATATTGATATAGCCCAGCTAATGAATATTGATATAGCCCAGCTGGTCAAAAGGCAGAGCAAGTCCAAAGATCATGAGCTGAAGTGTATAATCCGATTTGCAGTTATCGGCAGCTCATGCGTTAGTTAACGTCTTTCTCCAAACTGTCATTTACAATCAATTTATTGTCGTTCCCTTAGGAAACCAGAGAGAATGTATAAGAAAAAACGCTAATTCATCCTCTGTACAATAGAACATTCTGAGGTTTTGGAGCTCATTTTCACACATTACACATGACAGGAGTAGAGACCAGAAGTCGGAAATCAAAAATTTTGGTTAACTTGTTTCACTCGTAAGCCTTTCATAGAACAAGATATATCCGTGCTCTGAGTTGCTAGAATACTCTTGAGCTGATCCAAAGAAAGTCTGAACGGCAGACTCATCAATTATATCAACATTCTCATCATCGAAAAATAACCAATGGTTGTGGCTTTTCACAAGGCTGACATAGTGACCATGGTTTGGCCCAGTCCCCACATGTACAACCACAGCAAATAAGGAGTACTCTGAGTCTGCGTCCTCCATTGTGTTGGTTAATTTGAGCTCCAATGGAAACACAACACGATAAGAGAGCTTCTTGTACCTACCAAGATTCTCAATGTATTTGAAGCGCTTCAGGTGAATCACGAGAATGTGAGGTGGCTTTTTAATCTTCATTCTCTTCTGAGCTTCTTGCAGACTGTAAAACGAAGTAGCTCCTTATTAAGTGATGTAATTAAGGAGGCAAACACTTTGGTTCTTGATGTTCTAAACTTCAACGAAAGCATAATAAATTAATAATAATGCAAGAATAGGCTTTTCACTAAATGAAGACAATCAGGACTTGTAAAAATAAAAGGAATGTCTTAGAAAAGGAATGTCTGAGAAATGGTCCATACTTTGAAATGCTTTCAATTTCTTTGTACAAAGGCATGGACAGCAGACAAAGGTAGAATTGCTGAAAACAACACAAAATTAAGAGTAGACGAAACATACCTACAGCATTTGTCACAGAAAAATTTATCCTCAGCGTTAAGAGTTTCGGTGGAGCTGAAGTTCTTAAGGCAACTAGTAATGGAGCTGTTCTGTTCTATATCAAGGCTTAGATCAAAGAATGTCTCATCTCTAGCTGTGACAGTCTCACACCTCAGGCATTTCGTTTCATTTGTCAATATACCCTGCAATTGTGTCTCACAATCAGTAACCATGAAACATTTTACAGGTATTATAGTGTGCATACGTATTGCCTGCAATAGTGCAATATATTGATGCAGTAGCAGTAAAAAAATCAACATCTAGGAGCATGACAATCAAATTTGCAGCAACTCTAAATTCCCAGGGACATTGTACGACTTCACCAAAAGACATAAGAAACCACTACCATTCAATTTAAGTCTTGTTGAGGCGGGGACCGAGGATGTCAAGGTACAAAATTGTGCATAAAAACCTATAGCCTAAAGACTTTTCAGAGATGTTTCCAAAAGATGGCAGGAATCTTTTTACTTAAAAGGAACAAGCATTTGTTCTCCCGAACCAAAAAAGCAATGTAGCAATGCAATGGGTCTTCTGTCGTAAGGGACAGCTAGCCACCAGTGATACCCCCAAATCCCAAATTCGATAATCATGTATATGCACCAAGCATTTCATGACGTAAAAGGTTTATCCACAACCTTGGGGCTTCTTTTCAACAACAATTTTTCAGAGACCCGTTTTAGAAAGTAATTCATTTTTTCCATAATCTGTATTTGATTTTCACCATGATTAGGGATTTCTGTGCTCACATCCAGACTTCAGAATTCTTAGGGTGATTCTGGCACAAATCTAAGCGAACTCTAATCTGATTCCATGCTAAAGATCCCCAAGTGGAAACTTAAATGAATTAATGAAGCTCGACTACAAAGGAAAAGGAGAAAAACTCAGCAAAGAACTTGAGTAGTTACACAAAGACTGACCTGAAAATTTTTATGAACCCAGGTAACAAGAGGTTCCTTCTGTACACCATTGGCTAGGCCATTTCTTGGTCCATTTGCAACCTTTTCAGACGATGAATTTTCTGAGCTATCCTTTGTAGCAGAAGATTCTTTCTCCAGTATATCCACAAGTTCATTTAACAAAAAGTTCAGAAATTCATGAGCATCCTGTATAAGAACAAAATCATTTAAGTATGTAAGTGTGATGAATTTCAATAATGACAAAATATTTTCTTCAAACAAGGGGTCGGTCCACTATTCATTTAGAGAATTTTGAATGTTACCCAACTCTTCTAGAGAAACAAAAGGATAGATAAGGGACCTCATCTTTTCATGTGAAAAGAGCATAGGCCATATAAAACAAATCACACAAACCTTTCAATGATTACTACTTAATACTAACACAAGAGAATCAAGCCAAAAGAGGCTTTTACAATAAAGATTAGAGTTACAGCTGATTATACGTGCAAATCAATTGTGATGCAAAGCAACATACCTGGTGCATGTACCCACGGAAAAGTTCATTTTCTTTCCTTACTCTTTGTACAAAGCGTTTGGGAGCAATTACACCTGTTTTCTTCTTCTGGGAGCTTATCTGCATAAATAAACCAAAAAAAATGATGAAACACCGTCTCACATAATTCCTTTTTCAAATCAATTAGATCATTTGATCATCCACTATAAATTATCATTCAGAGGGATTACAATAAAACTACAATTTTTTATCATAAGACTAAAAAAATACAAATATCACACCATCCTGCTTCAAAAAGATAACAACAGAAATGAGTAAGAAATCTCCATCGAAATTCAATGCATCTCAAAGTTTGAACAACACCCTTTGCACTGATATCAAGAAAGTAGCCATGCATTTCAGAAAAATAAGCCTTAAATGTGACAAATAGACATATTCACTGACAGGATTGGCAAAGCGAGTGGTCTTGTGGAAACTGCAAGTTAAGCATTACTAAAGGGTGTATCCCCGTCCAGAGCTCAGCATTATATTTCTAACAACCATATACATGTCCATCCAATCTCTAGAGATGGGTATAGGGTTTATTCAATTGAGTAAATGACTACCAAAGTCCAAACATATCCAAATCGCTTTCATACATACCCCAATTTGACTGTTCCAACTCCAGCTTCCCCTTACAAACTCAGTGACTTCTTCAAAATTCCCAAGTAAAACTTCAAGCAATATACATAAGAACTTTTTTTTTTTTTAAGCATGCCATAGCTCCTCCATGCTCAACTCTCCATCACAAAACTCTCAGCCAGCTCCCCTCCTTGAGCTCCATCACAAAACTTTAAAATAATTGAACTTATAAATCAACAATCGGCCTGCAATATAGCTTGTCCAAGTAGTTACAAGATACAGAATGGAATATTTTAAAATCAAAATCCTGCTTGAGTAAGGAAGCATCATGGAAAGCAGGATTCCAATTCTTTTAATATATATGAAAGCATCTGAATTTATTTTGTCTAAATTTACTAGAACTTATTTTGTTAGAAATATGAACTTATGTTATGTGACCTTACCTGAAATTATCCAAACTTAATTTAACTCACGGTGTCATAAAATAAGTCAAAATGGTTGAGGAGAACACTGCTCAAATGTAAATGTTGTACAAGAATTTTTCTTCACAATATTACTTTTATCTCAATAGCTCACAAAGCGTTAAAGTGATGTAAAGAAAAAGAAAGCATTCAAAATCATTAATTTCAAAAAAGCAGCAGAAACAAATAATTACGGCATCAGTCATTAAAGAAAACTGAAGGAAAAAGATAGACGGAAAATAATACTGCAGTAGACATTCCAACATTAAAAATCATGCACATGTACAATAAGCACTTAAGCAGTGTACTGTGAGAATTATCAAGTGCAGTACCTGTGTGAATAAATCTGCCAAACATGTGAGCAAATTTTCCTCAGGATCAACAGGGTTTTTGTTCTTCTCATAGTACTCCAGTAATTTCTCACGAAATGGAACACAGAAATAGAGAGCCTGGTACAGGAGAGAGAGAGAATTAAATCAAGACTTAATTACAACTGTGTAATATTGTTGGCACATAGAAGAAAGTTATCTTTTGGTAAATATTTTACTCTGTTTTCTTCAGTTTAAAAATGGTATACCTTCTACATCATCAATATGTTTTAATCAGCGGACTGCACGAGACCCCTAACATTGCCCAAACTAAAGAAAATCCATAAGCAAGAAAAATCCAAAAAGAAGGTTTCTAGTTACAAGTCTTTGAACTGAAGATATTTGCGGGTTTTATTAATATGTTAGGAAATATATATCACACTAATATCACATAAGTTGTCGTAATTATAAGCTTTAATACATGGAACCAGATCGAGGAAGAAAGAGAGATCTGAATCTCAAACATCAAATAGATCATCAACGAAAACTGTCAAATACACGAGTCATGACTGAAGCTATCTCTATAATAAGCTCTGCTACGCTCCACAATATACAATTCCATAAGCACCTAATTTATAAACTTCACAACCAAGCATTAACATCCATCAAATCCATATTCACATACCCATTGGAAAAGCTCCATTGTTGGTTTGCCTTTCCTTCTTAGAGGAACCCTTTCACTTCCACAGAGCTAACAGCTAACCAGTGTAAAGGTAAACAACACCTCAAAGCAGTAAGGGAATGCTGGACATGTTTCAATCTACTAAATAGCTGAAATAGATTTATATGAACCACATGCATACCCACTTTCCAATTTTGACAAGGTTTTCTATAAATATGACAGAAAGTGAAGTAGCAATTTGCAAGTCTTTCTGAAATACCATTTGTAACAGTCTTAAAATCTTGGACAATTCGGGCCTTAGGGATAAGGTATGTACATAACAACCTCCTCAGACCATCTCCTAATGTGATATTGGGATCCTAATTGATTTGTTGTAGTTGAGGTTGTACGTGAGGTTAAAAATGTAGCAAGTCCAATGCACAGAAGTTACCAGCTACACCTCAATTCAAAGAGACATTTTCCTCCATCACAAAGAGCGCAATTTCAACGAGTTATGTTTATAAATATACGTATCCAGCTATATAAGAATAATACCTTCAACTACATCCATTAGATCCCTAGGAGGCTCTCAGATTCTGATACCATAATGACCAAACTTACAAGATTATCCTCTCAAATCATTTAGAACCACCTCTCAAACAAAAAAGTATTTTTACATATATCTCCACTACATAGCAATGCACATACAGCACATTGGGCAATGCAGCCAGTAAGACTAATCTTTTACTCCAAAAGCCTTGGAAATTGAAGTTTCAATTGCCGAAAAAACATGCATGATAAATCGTCATGGTCCCAGCGCCCTAAGAAGTAAGAACATGTAGTCCATTTTGACCTCTCTAGAAAAAGTTTGTCCCACATCTACAGTTTCACATATCACAACTGAGATAAAAAGAAACCTTATTCAGCCTCCACAACAGTCCTCTTACCAAATCTCTCCTAAAATACGTGTTCAAAAAATAACAAAAAAGACCCTCAAGGATACACCATACAAGTGATATGTCCCTCCTTCATATCAGCTCCCTTAATATAAATAGTTCACCAGCTCCCTATCCAAAATTAATTGAATTTCACCATATCAAATTTCCACGCGAATGTAATCGGTAAACCCAAATTGATACTAGAATCTAGAATACCAATACTTGGTTCACATTAGCCACAAATCAGTCAATCATTCAACCAATATCGGATTCCGAAGCGCATATTCATGTCTATCTAACAAAACCCGGTCCACCCTTTCTATCAACCTCAAGGAGGAATCCCCACCCCCCAACTCCCCAGAGTCCCCATCCCTCTACACTTCCTAATCTACTTTCACCAATTCAAATATCTAATCAATTACAACAATTATAGCTGAAAATCAAGCTCAGAGCATTCTAGCATGCAACTTACCCAAAGATTAAACTAAAAACAAAATCAAACTATAAAAAGTGAACATTTATATCTCCCATTAATTACAAATAATCAAGATCAGCTCACTTATACATAATTAAATCAACCAAATTGCAACAGCAACAAACAATCCTCACAATACAACAACAAAATTCAACAACAACCAAAAAAAAAGTTTAATCAAATTCACCCAGATAAATTGAGACAAAAATCCATATAAAATGAAGAACAAAAACCCTAATTTTGAAGGGAAAAAAAACCTGCAAAACGCTGTTGCAGTAGCAAGTGTTGCCGAAATTCTCAAGGCCAAAATATCTTTCACCTTCAGGGAAATGATCACCGAGGGCTTTCTCCAACTTGGAACCAGCTGCCCCCATTATCGATTTTCGTTCCCTCCAAATTTTCTCCTTTAATATTCCTCGAATTTTCTCCAATTTTTTTCTGCTTCAATTACAAATTATCTTTATTATTTTCAGATAAAAATCAAACGAAATTGAAGTATGAATCAAATGATAATATCATCAGATTGTGAGAAAATTGAAGAAAAAAAGGCCATGAAAAATGAAGGAAGGAAGGAAGCAGCACAGTGGAAATTTTGGAGGAGAGAGAAAATAGTGAGAAGAAGATGAAGAAGATGATGATGTAAATAGGAGTAAAAATAAATAATTGTAATAATTAAAATAATTTGGAAAATGAGAAAAAATAAAAATAAAAATGAAGAAGTAGAAGAAGAAGAGAGGCAAGAAACACCTTTCTTTTTGGGGTCAGAATAAACTCGGTGATTCTCTTTCCTCTTTACCTCGTTGACTGGGTTTCTAACCCAAACTCCCTTTTTATTTTCTTTTTGTGGATTTTGGATAATTTTGTTTTAATCTTTTTTTAATTTGTCTTATCATTTTTTTTTTCTCTTTTAACGAATAGTACTCCCTCCGTTCCTAAATGTTTTTTACGTTTTCAATTAGGGTGTTCCTTTTTATTCTTTACATTAAGTATATTTCCTATTTTGGTCATAAATTTTTGATAAAATTACCCTTGTTTTACAATTTTTTTACTCAAAAGTCCTTACTTTTCCATGTGCTATTGTACTTTTTTTTTTTTTTTACTATTTTAATAGTTTTTCAACACTTATTACTGAGTATTACTTTCTCTCTCCGCTCTTCTCTAATTTCTTCACCCACATGCTCAATGTTGTATTTTTCAATAAAATTGTATTTTCAATCATTGAAATATTCCAATAAACCTCAACTTTACACAATTTCTTAATAACCGCGCATAATTCCGAACGTAAAAAACATTAGGGAACGGAGGGAGTAATAAGGAGTAATTATTTATCTGCGATAAATTAACCAAGTAAAGTTTAAGCGTCACCATCTAATGTTTCGAAGTGGAAGTTTGTTAACTTTTCAATTTATTCTCCAATGTTAACTTACGTATGATGATTGTTTAATTAAGGGTTTGTTCTCTTACGTTGAAATTCAGTTCAATTCAGTTCAGTTCAGCTCATCTCCTAATTTCCTTCTCTTATAAAATATTCATTTCAGTTCAGTTCAGTTCAGCTCAGTTCAGTTTAGTTCAGCTCAATTCAGTTCAGTTGAGTTCAGTCGAGTTCAGTCAATGAGAACAGGCCCTAAGATGTTGGTTTAGATAAGTTTTTCTCTTTACCAAGTAATAAATTGAACATTTGTAGGAAAGAAAGTATAAAGGAGATTTATTATACCTATGGCATATTTGTATTATTGGGTATACTTGGTGTCTTGGTGACATTGGTTTTTCTTTTGTATTCATAATACTTGAGGTTTAAAAATAAAAATATTAGTGATTGAATTGAGTCAATTCATTGTACATTGCCATGAATTTGCTACGTTGCACTAGTCCACTAATAGCTTTTCGATGAAAAATTAAAGTTAAAATATTAAATCGATTTGGCATCTTGGACAATTTCTTTTAGACTTTTTATATTATAAAAAAAAATACACACATGAAAAATTTGACGTCGTATTTTCCACTTATAATCCAAATAACAAAGCTACATAGGAAAAAATGTCTTATACATTAATATACTGCAAATAAAAATTAAAAACTAACTCAATTTAGGCAAAATTGTACATGACATGTTGGAAACCATGTATGTATAATTGAAGTCTTCAAACTTGCGTTTGCAAAATGGACAAAATCCACAAGGGACCAATTGTGATCAATGACTCATATAGTCATATGTCACATATTAGAAATTCTTCCCTTCATATTAAAATTATACTTGTCTTCACTTTAAAGTCAAATCATAAATCATGTCACATATTCATATTTGTTTTAAAATATTATTACTACTAAGATTGGATATTGTTTTTTCTTGATATTACAAAATCAATTGGATATTTTGTTCCCTTGACATGTTAAATGTAAATGTAAGAGACATAAGGCAAAACATATAATAGTGAATCAATAAAAATAATTTTTAAATGATAAAATTATGGAGTATAAATCTTTAACCATTATAAAAGTGCAAATGTTGCTACTGTTCCTTATGAATAGTATTTTTTGGTGTTATTACAGCCTTGCCCCCAACATTAATGAATTGCCAATTATACCCCTTATTTCCACCGACTTACTTGGCCCTTGCTTTTCACCGACTTCCTCACCTTCTTGCTTCTTCCAACTCTGTCTGAATCTGAAGAAAAGGGTCAGAGGCTCAGAGCATGATTAAGCAAGGAGAGAGAAACCTAGAGAGAGAAAAATGCAGTACCTCGCTCAAGACCATCGATCATCGCTTTCGACGATGGGGCTTTGATTCTTCTCAGCGTCTGAGGTTGTGGAAGATGACTTTCCGATCGTCACATTTATCAGGTTCGATCTTGTTTCTCTCTCTTGATTTAGTTTCAAATTTTTTGGGTGTATTTGATCGATTTGTTTTCGATTTTTGGGCTTTATTTGGTCGATTGGTTTTCGATTATTTTGGGGTTTATTTGATCGATTTGTTTTTGATTTTTTGTCTTTACTTGTTCGATTGGTTTTCGATTATTTTGGGGCTTATGTGATCGATTTGTTTCTGTTTTTTGGGTTGAATTTGAGTGATTTATCCTTCTTTTGGAATGAATTGTCTGATTCGTGGTTGAATTGTTGATCTCTAGGTTAAAATCGCACTACGACGCTTTGTGAATTCCGTCACCGACACCAACCTTCAACCGTCACCTCCATTACAACCACCGTCACAAGTGATTGAAATTACCTATTTAATTCATAGTTCTGTGATTCTGAGCCTTTAAACTGTCAGATCTTGTTGATTTATTTGATTTTCAACCAATTAGTCTCGTGTCTTTGATTGAAATTACTTTATAGCATAAGATCTTCACGATCTTTCGATTAAACATGATTTTAATAAATTTTAAACGATTTGATTGCAAGGAACATGATATAATAGCATGTCTTCGACTTCTTGACTCAGATCTTATATGTTTAAAAGATTTTAAGTATCATGATTTATGTTTATTTCGTCTTATATATTAGATGCAACTACAGAGCTTAATTTATCTTGATCTTTAAATTAGATGCAACTACAGAGCAGAATTTATATTAAATTACGTTTGGCTGAATTTGCAAGTAAAATAAGTATTAAGATTCTCAAGCTAATTCGCGTGTGTTAACCTTTTCTCAGATTGATGATAACTGAATGATGAGCATCTCGTATACTTGTATAATACTTGTATTTTCTATGATCTTGACCACTTGCAAAAGTTACAAATCTTACAATATGATTATATAAGGTGATACTTTTTTATAGTGGTATCATTTTATCTTTTTTGGGTATGGAGAAAAGTGGTATCTTAGGATGCATCATAATCTCAAATTTAACAGTTCATTCTATCTAGAATTAGTTGTCTCGTTGTCTTTACACTACCCTGATATGTAGTTTGATCTAAAACCAAAATCCATTAATTTGGTTGATTGGTTTTCGATTATTTTGGGGTTTATTTGATCGATTTGTTTTTGATTTTTTGTCTTTATTTGTTCGATTGGTTTTCGATTATTTTGGGGTTTATTTGATCGATTTGTTTCTGTTTTTTGGCTTTCGTTTTTTGGGTTGAATTTGAGTGATTTATCGTTCTTTTGGAATGAATTGTCTGATTCGTGGTTGAATTGTTGAACTCTAGGTACAATTCTCTCTCTCCTTTCTCTTCTGAGCTTTCTCCAACCCTCCACTGAAGCAAATCCTGGACTTGCTTTTAATCCATTGAAGAAGCTTGAGAGGTTATTTGATGATTCTCTGATATCCAGGTTTGATTCTCTCTTCTTTCACTCTCGTGTTCTAATTGTTTGAATGTTCAGCTCTTTAATTAAATTTTTCCTTTTATTTGAATGTTGACTGATTTAGCTTCCTTTCCTGCAAAAAATTTGGAGTACGTTGTGTGTTTTTGTAATAAAACGTGGGAAAGTTTTGAATTTTATTTGTTTTTAGTATAAATATGTCAAGTAATCGCATAAATTAAATAGATTTTTGTGGTTAATATTCAAATTGTGGTGATAAGTTTGTTTTCTGTGTAACAAATTGTTTGGATTATGGCTTACACATGTAATTTTAATGATGCATTGGTTTGGGATGTGTAATCTGCAATTGATATGAAATGGAGGAGCTGATTTGGTTTTAGTGTTTTCAGATGCTTAATTATAGGCTATATGATTTGAGTAATTGGCTTTGGTTTTAATGGATGATTGATTGGTACTTTTGTTAAGCAGAAATGGGTGAGGAGGCTACTAAAGTTGTTATACCGGAGTCAGTTTTGAAAAAGCAGAAGAGGGAGGAAGAATGGACTTTGGCCAAGGAGGAGGATCAGGATGTTCAGAAGAAGAAGAGAGTTGAAATCAGGAAGCTGATCACTAACTACAGTAGTAAATTTGTTCACATTAATTAATTACACGGAATTCAGCAAGAAAGTGCATCAGGAATAATAATTTAATTAAGATTATTTATTAGCCGAAAGTATGTTGAATTGTTGATCCCACTAGCAACAACCATATATTCTTTCATGATTCAAACCTTCTATTCATAACTTCTTTGTATTAAAAGGAGCAATTAAATCATAAAAATGTCTTAATAGAATAATATTTTGTCTTAAAAAATTACTGTATTAATAAACTTGGTAAAAGTCAGCTCTCTGATTTGATTCTTCTTTTTCCCTAATACAATCGTAATTAATTATGCTATGTCAATTGTTCTAGAAATTACATGTCTTTTAAATGTTTAACAATACTTATCTTTCTAATAAATTAATCATATACTACCACCGTTACCTATTATGTGCAACAAAGGGGTATTATTTGTGGTGTCTGTTCTTGGTGTATGGTTATTTAATTTGATTAGGTTTCTGATTAGCCTTGTTTATTGTTAATTAGGAGAGGGAATTGATCTGTCTCAGAAGGGAGACTAAATTGAAGGGTGGATTCTACGTCGAGCTAGAGGCTAAGCTCCTATTTATCATCCGTTTCAGGTTATCACTTCACTATATTTGATTTTTTTTGTAGCTCACATATATATCATGGTTTACTATTAAGTTTCGAGTCTATTTGTTCACTGTTGTCGTATAGCTTACAATGCGAATTCTCTGTGATTATGATATACTCCCACGTCTCTTTATTAGAGTCCCCTTTCTCTTTATTAGAGTAATAAATGTTAGAAAGGGGACTCTAATAATGAGACGGAGGGAGTAAGAATCTGATTGATCGATACTACTATTATTGTTACAATTGTTTTTGGTGCCGCATACCTTAATTGTTTATGAAATCTGTTTCTATATTCTTCTGTTTGTTAACGTTAATTCACATAATCTCTAATAGGGATTGTTACATTTCGTAGCTTACTTACATGTCTAATGTATTAGTGACTTGATGACTATGTCCATGCATATGCTATACTGGCCATATTGATACTGATTTAGTTGTCATATAACCAAGAGAAAATGAATGTTGTCTGCATACTCATACCCAGAATACCAGATAGCATTAAGCCTTCCTGTTCCATATTCCTCGTATAGGCCTTTGTGTTGGATGTGTCACCAAATTTCATTCGATTGATGAATTTCATAACTACCTTGAAATATTATGCCTATATGTGTATGTTCCATGATTTTTTGTGATTTTTTCTCTTTTCCAATGTCATTGGTTGTTGGGTTTTTTGAATGGTTGAGATATCCTTTTGGAGTATTGGAAATAAATGACATGTATTTTAGGCGTCGACTTTCATTTTCTTTTTTTCATGTTGGTTTGGAGTATATGTTCCTTGATTGGATTGTATTTTTATTGAGGCTATTGAGATGTGATGGAAGGTCACAAATTTAGCATAATTGGACAATGCCCTATAATTTTTTCTTTTTTGTTTTGTTGGCATACTGATACTCTTATCTAGGTTCTGTTACTAAAAATATGGAGAAATATCTTTATGAATTTGTGTTGTGATGTACTGCTGTCTTTGTGAGAGCTATCTTGAATCGTATATTGAGTTAATAATTGCATGAGAGGCATTTGACTTTGGATAGTAGAGGTTGGTAAAGAATTGAGGGCCATATGGACCTCATAAAGTTTCTTGTAGTGACCAAACAAACAAGTACATCCAATACCAAAATATTTTAATTGCTTAGGTTTCTATGCTAACATATTCAACTTTAGTTTTTTTTTTTTTGTATCAGGATGATTTTGTGTTGGGAAAGAAATTGGGAGAAGAGGCTCTTATAGTTGTTTATAGGGTTTCTTAGTGATTGATTGATGGTATCTTTTTTGATGGATTGTCCATGATGAATGTATAATTTTATCTATTCTGATTTTCATTTGGCATAAAGATATTGTACTGATTGATTGATGGTGTTTGATGCATGCAACTGCAAGTGTTTGTTGTTTAGAATACGTTTTTTGAGTTCATCACTTGAAAATAAGTGGTAGGTCAAATACAAGTGACTGATTTACTGTATAAGATGGCAAACATTGAAATGATGATTTTTTTTTAAAAAAAAAAAATTTAACATGATTGTGCTTTGGTGGAATTAATCTAACTTCTACTTTAACTGAAATGTAAACACTTCTAAAAAAGTTATGTGCAAACACAATATTCTATTTAACCGAATGAATTAAAGATATACTTCCTCCGTTCTTTTATACTTGATTTGTTTCCTTTATCATGCTTGCTAATGCAAAATTTTAGCGATCAATAACTGTAATTCTTTATAAGTAAAAATTATAAAAGTCGTATATTGCGATAGTACTTATTGAGACGAATTTAAAATGATATTATATGTAAAAGTCAAAGCGTGTCAAGTAAAAAAGAACGGAGGAAATACAATACTTTTAAAAAGATTTAGAAATTGAAAAAAAACAATATTTTTAAAAAGGCTTTAAAATTTGGAAAACATAAGTGGTGCAATGTAACAAAAGATGGAAAGAGAGAGGAGAATGACTGAGAAAGGGGGAAATGCAAATAAAGCATAACTTGCTTTATAAATTTTGAAAATCATAAGATAGGAAAGGAAAGAAAAGGAGGGAGGGAGGGAGGGGGAGAAAAAGATGGTCAATTAATTGTCAATTTCATATGATAAAAAATCAATATTGTAATTTGTATAGAAAACTAATCTGATTGATAACATATTTAAGAAATGATTTCAACCTTAAGGTAGAACGTGTTGGATTCTTACGTAATAGTTCCTTAAGTTTGCATATATCATATTTCTTTTCAAAGACATTGAATCCCTTTATTTTGTTCATCTTTTAATCTTTCAAAATGACCTTAATAATGTATGAAAACACACAAAGGAGAAATAAGTCATAAAATATCAAAAACCTTAATAAAGACATTAAGTTTTAAAGGAATTAACATAAAAATCTAGGAACATGACTAGAAAATAAATGTCAAAATGACACTCATCACATACGAGAAGGAGAGAGAGGGGGGGGGGGGAAGAGAGAGAAAGAAAGAGAGGGGGGAGTTGAGAAAAAGAAGGGCAAGGAGATATTTTATAACAAAATTAAAAATAAAAAAAACAAGGAGACAAAGGCAAGGGAAGAATACAGTAACTTTTGCCTAAATTAGATCGTATATTCACTTAGGGAAAACAAATTTCGAGGATAAAAATAGGACTACAATTCAACATTCAACTCGAAGAAAAAATGTAAAAATACAAAACAAGCTTTGAAGAAGTTTAAATCACACCAACTATGTAGACTGATAACAAAGAAATATACAATTCTTTCATATTCTTTGCATTTAATCCATTTTACAGAACTTTAACCTTTAAAATTGTATTTCCTTATTTATTACTACTCCTTATTATCCCAATCATTAAGACGAGATATTTGTTAATAATTAAGCTACTCAATAAGAAACCATATTGCGTTCAGAAATAATATCTAAAAGAATTGTATAATTTTTAAAACATCTTTAAATTCTAACAAATTCTAGAAAACTGTTCTTTTAAAATTGTTTTTCTATATATATTTCTCCGTAAAAACTTTATCACTACTGCTTGTTATGACTTGTAAATTCATGTGTCCTTACTAATGCAAAACCCGACACAATCACGAATATCACAAAACCCGAACACAACCACGAATATTACTTATCTTGCCGTCGGGGGAGCACGCGCATCGCGCATGCTCCAACGACTAGTTTTATTAAAAGAACAAATATAATAGTGAATCAATAAAAATGATTTTAATCAAGAACAATACTTGATAATTTAAGTTCATTAAATATAAAGGAAAAGAACAAAACCTTACACCTTTAATTGTCTTTGTATAGAAAATAGGGAGTACTTACAAAAAATTAATAAGTGATTATGCCCTAGAATCTTACTTTTTCTAATTTTATGTTTATTGAGGAAAAATTAATGACTCAACATGATAAATAATTGCATTATATCACCAATAAAAACCCTTAAAAGCATAGGAATGATATTGATATTTAATCTACTCTTCACATCATTATGATTATTTCTATAATGAATTAGAATAAGAAAAAAGTATTTATTAATACACATTTATTAATACTATAAACTATAATTGAGTTCGAGGTTCAAGTATACATTCTAAGTCTTTATATAAAGTTAATATTCAAAAAATAATAATAATAATAAAGTTATGTATTAAAAAAAATACTTTTGAAACATGAAAGATTAATGCTATGTTGTAATAGTGGTTACGTTCTTAATTCTCATTTCAAAGGTACGGTTATACAAATTTTTAGATGTGGCTGACAATACCATATAAGTTTTTTATTTTTTTTTATTTTTTTTAGTGTAATAGGGGTTATTTGGTTAATGGTTATTAGTGTTATCAGATTAGGGGTTAATTAGTCAATATTATAGGGGATACTTAGTTAGTGTTATAAGAGTTACATTATTTTATGTGTGACCATCCACACACAAGATAGGCTGCAAAAGGTTAAGTGTTTGACGATTGACATTAACAACATTTTCTACAAAACTACAATGTGCATCATAGATGCTTTTCGCCTCCTAAGGTGTTGCTCTCATTAAGATATTTGAAGCCCTTACGATAGTTTTTGTAACCTGTTGTGAGTTTCATTATTCAAGCGTTCAACATTCTTATGAGTGGCATAGGATTTTTTTTTTACAAAAAAAAACTTATTTTTTCAGATCTAATTTGAAATTAAGATGTCGGTGGGGCGGGCCAAGTACTAGGGCGGGGATGCGGATAACAATCATACCTGCCATGGTTGAGGGGGAGGGGGTAGATTTTACGTTGCACCCTCTCCATCCCCGCCCCACTTCGTACCCGCCTCAAGTCACATCTATTTATTTTTAAAAACAAAATTATATACTTTTATACTATTTTATGAAAAAAGTTAGAGAAATTTGTAAAAAATGACCTTTTAAATCATCAACTTTTTGAAAAGGGACCTTTTAAGTGAAAATTTGTGAAAAAAGGACCTTTTAAGTTGTATTTTGTTTGAATGGAGTACTTGGGTGAGCTTGCATGGTGGTCAACACCGGAGTTTCGAGGTTGACTATCACGTATTAGTCATATGACTTATTTTCGAAAAAAAAATTGTGTATATAATAATTTGTAATACACTAATATTATAATTAAAAAAAGGGTGTGATATTAACAATCATTTTTTTTAATTATGTTGGATTCTGAATTTGGGGGGTGGGGATTAGGCGGGTCTTAGGTGGGAATGGATATCCAAGTGGGGGTGGGGCGGGGATGAGGATGAATTTTAGACCCGTCACGGGTAGAGCTGTCAATTTGGGTAAATGGGTCGGATTTTGGTCGGGTAAGAGTGGGTCGGGTCAATTCAGATTAATTCCATAACCTATATGGGTCGGGTTTGGGTTGGGTCATGCTTGAGTCAGGTCACGTCGATCGGGTCATACTTCTTATCAGGTTTAGGTCAGGTTACATTCGGTTCGGGTGAACAGTACAATAGGTCGGATTTAATTCGGGTTTTCACGGTTTAAAATGGGTTAGGGTAATTCTCGGGTTCGAGTCGAGTTCAATTCAAGTCAATAATTTGCGGGTTAGAATCAGGTCGGGTCATTCTCGGGTTTGAGTCGGGTTTGATTCAAGTCAATAATTTGCGGGTTATAATCAAGTCAAGTCATTTTCAAGTCGGGTCATTCTCGAGTTCAAGTTGGGTTCGGTTCAAGTCAATAATTTGCGGGTTACAATCAGGTTGGGTCATTTCCAAGTCAGGTCATTTTCGGAGTCAAGTCAGGTTATGTTCAAGTCAATAATTTGCAGGTTACAATCAGGTCGGGTCATTTCCAAGTCAGTTCATATTCGGGTTCAATTAACTATAAATTGATAATTATCATTTTTATCAAACTAATTATTTCCTTTGACTATAATATATATGGCAATATACTAGGGAACTATAGTTCATCATTTAGGAAGATAATTTTCTACTTTGACCATACAACAAATATATACTATATTTAACTCTTATATTTGAGGATGATTCTCCTTTCTTTTGCTGGCCTGGATTGACTTGGTCTCCCTAGATAAAATGTTTTGATCAACAATAATAAAGTGGTTTAAATTTCATTTAAGGTGATTTGTAATCAGGGAACAATTTGGGTAGAATTTAGGTCGGGACAATAACAAGTCGTGTTGATTTCGAGTCGGGTTGCTAACAGATCGGGTTGAATTTTTGGGTCGGGTTAGTAATAGGTTTGGTAAACTTCGGGTCGGTTCACTAACAGATCGGGTTGAATTTTTGGGTCGGGTTAGTAATAGGTCTGGTAAAATTCGGGTCGGGTCAATAACAAGTCGAGTTGAATTTGGGTCAGGCCAATAACAAGTCGAGTTGATTTCGGGTCGGGTTTGTAACAGGTCAGGTTAAATTCAGGTCAGGTTGAATTCAGATCAAATTAGTAACAAGTCGGGTTAAATTCGGGTTTTGACGGGCTAAAACGGGTTTGGTACAATTTCGGTTCAACTCGGGTTCAGTGCAAGTTAATTAAATTGGTCGTTGTAAACCAGTAAATTGGTGCAAGTTGTAAACCAGTAAATTGGTCGTTTAAAAGCAAATTGAATGTTTCCACACACCCCAATTGGACTCCCGAGGGACCATGGTAAACATTTCGGCAAATTTTATTTTCGGCCGAAAAAAGTAAAAAAATTCCAAAATTGAAGGCTAATATCCACATTTTTTAAGAAATTTTGGAGGTTTCAGGGACCGGTATCGAAAAGTCTTGAAATTCTATGGAATAAATCTCGGGGTCATATAAATCCGTTTGAAACCATATATAATCATTATTTGTTGTCATAAATGTTCGTGGTAGGCTTGAATAAATGAAATCGGTGCAAGTTTTAAACCGGTAAATTGGTCGTTTAAAGACAAATTGGATGATTCCACCCAACCAATTAGACTCCCGGAGGGTATTAGGGACCATGTTAAACATTTCGGCAATTTTTATTTTCGGGCGAAAAAAATTTCATAATTGAAGACTAATATCCACGCTTTTTGAGAAATTTTGCAGGTTTCGGGACAAATGTAGAAA